TATATTCGTTTTTATTTAAGTTATATAGTTTTAAAACATAACCCGTATATTTATTAGTTTATGCTTACAACTTACAATAAACTAAAAGATAAATTAAATATTTTCTTATTTTTTGTGCCTACTATCTTCTTACCTATTTTAGATGGTGACAAATATCATTTAATTTAATTTAAATTTGATTGAATGTTAAATTTATACACTTCTCATCATCTTAAATGGGTAGAAAGAAAAATAAAAACAAAAAGTAGGAGAATATTTAATTTCTCTAACTAAAAATAACAAAGTTCAAAGTTAATGAATCAATTTATCTTAATATATTTGATATTAATAAATAGCATAAAACTATAATTTGGTATTATTTTATAGGATGGACACCAAATTTGATGCAATACAATATTAAGTTGGAACAACTTTAATACTCCATTTGGTATGAATGTTGTGTTAAATTGAGACACATATAAGATCATCTCCAACCTATCTTCATTTCCCCCGTAAATCGGTAAAGAATGAGGTAAATAGTGTTTCATCTCCAACTCTACTCTAATTTTTATCTTATTTTTTTATCCAAAAAAGTATATTCTTACAATATTCCATTTTTATAACTTATATATATTATTTTTATAACTTATATATATTGTCAAATACATCCCTCTGCTAACTAGATTTTAACAAATATATATTATATTTTTTCATTACAAAATATTATAAATTATATTATCATATTTACATTTTATAAATTTAAATTAATTATTACTTTATTATAAATAATTATTAAATAAATAAAGTTACATTTATAATAAATATATCAAGATCACGACCGTATTTGATTACAATATTTTATAAGTTATGTTACCATATTTCAAGTCTTTAGTATATATTAAATTTTTTTTAATATGAATTCGATAAATAAATATTAAACTCTATATTTATGATTAATTAATATAAATTAGTATATAACATGATATTACAAATATTAAATATTGCATTTAAATTATAATTAGTAGATAAAAATAAACTAGAATTATGTAAAATAAAAATGAGAGGGACTAAAATTTACAACCGAAACTTTAACCCTATTTTTGGAGATATGAATAGTATTCCCCCAAATATGAGGGAATACTATTCATATCACAAAAAATGGAGATGAAAATGGAGTAGGATTAGAGGAGAATTGGGGAAGAAATTGAGGAAAAAATAGAGGAGTTTGGGAGTGAGTTGGAGATGTCGTAGGAAGTATTAATTATAAAAAATATTAACATAATTAAATATAAAATATAATTATTATGAAGATTATTAATATATTTTATATTTAATTATTGTAATATTTCTTATAATTAATGTATTTTATATTTAATTATGATAATATTTGTGATAGTAGAAACTTTTAATGAAAGAAAAAAAATAATAATAATAATAATAATTAAAGAAGTAAATACTTTAATGGTTAAATTAAAGTAGCTTATGCTTTTCTAGATTTTGCCCAAAATCTTAACACTTATTAACATAATAAACAACATTAAATATCAATTTAGCATTCTATAACTAGTGATCATCATATACAATATTTAGCACAATAAACCATAACAAAATTTCTTAGTGGTTTAATCTCTAAAAACTAGAGTTAACATAACATAACAAGTTAGCATTTTGTTTGACGTCCTCTCCGACACATATTCATACTATTGCAGATATCCGTGTCAATATCATCATGCCATTTATAGCATATTAAATTAGAAACAAAAGTACAAATTGTTATGCGATCAGTACAAACTAACGTACGAATTCAAAAAAAAAAAAAAAAAACTGATCACGAACCTGCACCAAGAAGAACGACCTGAGCTCCGCCGCCAAACGACTCAAGAGCCGCCTCGAGCTTGGATTCAAACCATAAAGTCCGAACAGCAAGAATCACCCCAGAAACTTCTCTCGCATTATTCATCCGGTCATTCTTAATCTTCTCATAAAGATTGTTCAAATACGTTTCTCCGGCGAACAACTCCGCCAGCTGATCATTCACAACATGCTTCCAAAGTGCCCTTCCGGCCGCCGTCTGACAAGCCGATCGTTTAACCGAGTCCCAATCACTCTCAATCGTTGCATGAAGCTCCCGGAGAGCTTCACTGTACAACAGCTCCGGCCGCGGCCAGTTTTGGTGGTCGGGAAGTCTGCCATTTTGTTCGTACGCCATGTTTATGGCGGTTGGGTTTTGAAAGAGTAAATAGAGGGAGATAGGGAAGAAGAAGGGTAATGTTGGAAATATATATATATAATTTATAGCTAAGGGATAAGGGAAAAAGAGATAGCCACACAATACACATGAAATTTGAAATGAAACCAAATGGTTAAATCGTATCCATGTTGTTTGCATAGGGTCGTGAAGTAGTCCACGAAGGCCACCCATTTTTGCTATACCTTTTGGTATTCTTCAAACACTCTGAAAAAAGTAAGCTTCAAATCAATGGAGCCCATAAGAGTGAGATTATTTTGAGGTTACAAGTGTTAATGCGTGAAGTACAAGTGGTGTGGAAAGATCTTGAGAGACGTCATGTTGAGTAAATGGAAGTGATGTGTTGGGGTGTGGTTTGGTTGTCTTCGACCACCAAGTACAGTTTTTGTTTTGTTTTATTTTGGGAATAGGAATGGTTGGTGGTGGTGATAATGGTGTAAAACACTGTCTTGATCTTGTTGGAGTAGAATGTGGTTTTCAGGTGGTTAGGAATCAGGATGCTATGGACTTCTTCAACAATTACTAATGGATAGGGATTGTAAACAAACAATACCCTAGCAACTCCTTAGCTATCGATATACCTTTTTCATCGTCGGATATTTTAATGTACTAAAATATCAAGTCGGAGAGACAATCCAACAACATAACATATCATACAAAGGAAGTGAACATTTTATAGGGTAAAAATAAAAATGTGTAGTAATTGTATAAATCAACTACAAAACATATTTAAATATTTAACTTATGATAACCATATATAACATATTTCAATTATCATCTTCATCCTATAATAATACCCGTCCGGGGGTCAGTTTAACCGATGGTTGCTATCTTTTGCATGTAACTTATCTTTTTGTTTATTTGGTATTGGTTTGGGAGCTCATGTATATTTTTTTTAAAGTAAGTTGATATTTCTTATATGTAACATTATAAATAATTAAGTAACAATTTCATATGTAAAATCAAATATTACTTTTTGATGGGACATTAGACATGTCTCAATTATATATGTCCCACAAACTATTAGTTTTTTTAGGATGGACGGAGTCGAACGGTTTTGATGGCGGGTTCACAGCAATACCACAAGTACCATAGGCTACATGGCTCCAAGAAGAGAAGGTACCTGTAACACCCAAAAGCAGGTATGACCTTATAGCCCTTGAAGTATCTTGATATTGGCATAAGAGACCCTTAAGTACGCTGGGCGTACTTAAGAGTACGCTTAGCGTACTTGGTGAGGAGGAACGCGGAGGGGCAGCACGTACACTGGGCGTACGTGTCAGCATGTTCAAACCCAAAAAATCAGACTTGAGCCCTATATAAACATCCTTAACTCCTTTGAACCTCACCTTTAACACCCTCCTTCACCTTCAAACGTCCCTGAAAAACCCTAATATCATTTGTGAGTGTAGCTTGAGCTTTAAGAGTGCATTGGTGGTTCTTTTAGTGTTCATCCAAGAAGAAGAAGTTGCCAAGGAAGCTTGGAGTGTCATTTGGCATCAAGAATCTGATCATTTTCGACCTTGAGGAGCTTCTGGAGGTATAAAGCTTGTACCTTTTCATTTTAATCACTAGATCTAGCTATGGTTTCTAGTCTTGTCCCTTTAGTTGATCTTGGACCCTTTTCTTGTGAGTTAAGCAACTCCAGAGGAAGGAGATGACAGATCTGAGGTCCCTTAGTCCTTTTCCAACATAAAAATGGAGTCTTGGTGGGAGTTTTAACCTCATGCATGGGTTAAGAGCTTCAAAATGGTCTTTATGAGGGTGTTGGGATCATATGGTACATGCAACGACATAAAGTTGCCAACTTTATGCCTTAGGTCGTCTTAATAGGCCTAGATCTGACTTCTGGACGTAAAAGAATCGAACATTAAGCACTTAATGGAAAAAGTGCTTAATCTGTTATTACGCCGGGCGTAGATCTGCGTACGCCGCGCGTAAGTCCCCGAGCCCCAGCACGCTGCGCGTACCAGGGTGGTACGTTGAGCGTACGCATCGCAGACGGGCTTGGACCTATTTTGGGCTTTTGGGCTATTGGGCCTCACTTGGTTATTGGACTTAGATTGCATTCTGTAAATTATGGGTCATTTCATCTGTTATGGGCCTTGGATATATTGATTGGGCTTTAATGGGCCAAGAGGCCCATTAATGATATTGAACTTAGACTTTCGGCCCATTAGCAAGGAAGGGATAATTGGGCCTCATGAAGGGGTTGGAGTTTGGGATTCTTTTAAATAAGTAAGGTCTTGACATTAATTTATTATTATCATTCAGCACGGGAGGTTTCAGACTGTTAGGAGAGCAGCTTTTGTATTTCAGCGGACAGAGGTGAGTCTTCTCACCATACCTATGGGTCTAAGGCACCAAGGCCGGCCCATTATGTGATTATGGTATATGTGTTAGTCATTATGTGTTTTGATATGCTATGTGATTGTGTGTTCTGCATGGAAGACCCCGGGGGGAGCCCGATGCATTGGGTGTAAGACCATGTGGGGTAGCCCATGGCATCCCTAGGTAAAGACCATATGGGGTAGCCCATGACATTAGATGTAAGACCATGTGGGGTAGCCCATGGCATTCCCTCAGGTTTTATGTATGCATAGTTTACATGATGTGTTTGTAGCTTAATTGCTAACAGATTATGTGTATGTGATTGTGTGTGATATGCTCTGGGGAGCTCACTAAGCTTTTCAGCTTACCGTTTGTGGATTTGTTTCAGGTACTTCGGAGCCCAAGGGCAAGTGCAAGGCGTGATGACGTGGCGTGCACTCTATTTCTTTTTCACTGATATGAATCGGGGGACACTTTGATGTTTTCTATTAAATAATTTGTAATGAATGTGGATTTGAAAAAAATTAAGATTGGGGCTTTATGATCTATACAAAAATGATTGATTAATTAAAATGAAAAATTTCTTTGTCAAATTCGGGTTGTTACAAGTTGGCATCAGAGCCTTGGTTTGAGGGATTCGGGCACACCCTCGGGTGTGTCAGGACTCAAACTAAGGAAATAGTAAAATGGTTTTCAAAAATAACATAAAAAGGGTTTTAAAAGAAACGAAAAGATGAGAGTGCAACGCGCGTGATCAGCTGAGCCAAGTAAGTAGTTCCCCAATATGATTAGCTATGTTATGCTGATGTTGAGTTGTGTTGATTATATGGAACTTGCTATGTGTATGTTTTTTTTTAAATTGTATACGGTTTGGAGCTTATAGCCTCAGAATGATTGGTTTAGCCTTAGTTTCTATTCCTTGTTGGATGTGGTCTTAGGGTAGAATCTCTTATTCGAAAGTCTATTTGATCCTTTCTGTGTATAATTTGCATGCATAAAGGCAACCTGTTGCGATTGATTTGATTGATACGAGTAGAGTAAATCTTAGGACATCCTGGGATTGTTATTGCGGTAGTTGTGGGTTATGGTTTAGTTATTGGTCGAGTTGGAGTTAGCAGGTAGGGCAGTGGCACAAGGTATAGGTAGGTGTGGAAGGTAGTATTGGGCCCATACTACTGGAAGCACATGACCTGTACCCGAACCAGTGTTAGATCTGACGACTTCAAGGAGGACCGGTATGGGAAATCCCCCCCCCCCTTTGTATATAAAATCCTGATCATTGTAACTTATAACATTTCAGTTCAGCATGGTGGTGACACGATTTGGAGCAAGAGGATCAGGATCAGGATGTGGATCCGGGGTTGGGTCAGGTGACCCCACCGAGGTCTTTGATGAGAGGCTGCACGAGCTCATTGCAGCCGAGGTTACCAGGGGCATCCTTGACTCTACCCCAGTCATTTTTGGGACGGTCAAGGAGGGTATTATGGAGATTATGGAGGAGAGATTCAGGACATTCAGGGCTGAGATGGCGGCGGGTCAGGTTGGGGCCCGAACTCCCTCGTTTCGGGAGTTCAAGGCGTGTGGAGCACCAGAATTCTTTGGGGTCAGAGACCCCATTGCCAGCCGACGCTGGGTGGCGGATATTGAGAACGCCCAGCGCACGAGTTCCTGCCCGGATGCGGCAAAGGTTGGGTTTGCTTCTTGTATGCTGAGGGACAGAGCCCGAGATTGGTGGGGCGAGGTTACTAGCCAGGTGGGTTCAACCGAAGTGGCTGAGATGTCATGGGCCGAGTTTGTTCGGCGATTTGATTCGGAGTTTGCACCGCCTATTGAGGTGCAGCGATTGGTGAGGGAGTTTCATGACCTGCGGCAGACCACCGAGACTGTGGCGGAGATCACCGCCATGTTTTGAGAACGAGCTTTGTTGATTCCACAGCATGCCAGCGATGAGGAGATGAGGCAGACCCGGTATCATTCCATGCTAAGGGATGATATCCGGGAGTTTGTGAGCTTTACATGGTGCAAAACCCTGAATGATATGGTGGAGAAGGCCCGTGAGCAGGAAATGGAGTTGGACTTCCGCACCAAGCGGAAGCCGGAGCAGGCGCAGGCAGCAGTGGGTCAGGCTAAGAAGCCTAAGACTTCTGATGTTTCCAGCAGGGGCCAGAAGGGCCGGGGCCAGTGTGCCAAGTGCGGGAGACTTCATAGTGGGGCTTGTCGGACAGTTAGGGTGTCGGGCTGTTACTCATGTGGTCAGCAGGGCCACATGAGCAAGGACTGCCCCAAGAAGGGCTTGATATGTTTCCACTACAACCAGACGGGCCATAAGAAGGTCGATTATCCAAGGTTGCAGGGAGAGGGAGGAGCAGGGGCGGCGCCCGCGCCCGCCATTATGAGGATTACTGAGGGCCACCTTGTTAAGGCGGAAGCTCCAGCGGTGAAGAGCCGCGCATTTCAACTGACTACCGAGGAGGCTCGGGCAGCGCCGGACGTTGTGGCTGGTACGTGTTTATTCTTTCCTGTTTTATGTTTATTCGTAATGCTTATATGTATGCATTATGCTTGTTTAGGGACCTTTTTGTTCAAAGGTATGTCGGCTCATGTTTTGTTTGATTCGGGTGCTACCCGATCTTTCGTGTCTCTTGCACTTAGCAAGAAGTTCCGGGACGCGC